CACTCTGTCTCTTTGTAGGTTCTACTGCTCTAGAATTTGTTCAGAGTCACTTTTTAAAGGTATTTGAAGGGGTTTGGGAGAAGGCTCAGGTGAGTCCCTGCTTTCACTCTGCCATCTTGGCTCTGCCCTGATCTGGTTCTTTTAAAAGGAAAACAAACAACTTTTAATGGTATGACTTTTCATATGCAGATCACTTATCCATGTTGAATTTATTGTTGTACATGGCATAGGATGTTGGTTTAAAACTAATTTCTATCAAACTGCTTTCCAGGGTTCCCAAAGTTGTCAAATAGGGGATTCTTTCATAAGCAATTTACATTCTCATGTTCATTGAACACTTGGTTATCAAGTGCAATTGTTTCTGATTCTTCCTCATCTGATTTCCTCCACTGAGCTACACTTCTATTTTTAAACCAGTAACAAATAGTTTTGATGATTATTTCTTTATAATAAACTTCAAGGTCTAGAAATGCTGCTTTATCTTCATTCCTCCATTTTTTTTCATTATATCCTTTGAGAACCTAGACCTATTGTTCCCCCAAATGAAATATTTTTTATATTGTCTAACATTATTAAGTGTCTTCCTAATAGTTTGATTGGTACAGTAGTAAATCTTTAAGTTAAGGTAGCATTGAAATTTTATTATGTCAGCATGGCCCAACCATGAACATTGAAGATCCCCCAGTAATTTAGGTCATTTCTTCAGTTCTATAAGGACCATTTAAAATTGTTTTTATGTAAGATGGCACATGCCTTGATAGAACAACTCACATGTGTTTTCTGCCTTTTGTAGATATTTTGAATAGGAACACTTTTCAGTCTTTTTGGATTTTGTTATTTCTGTGTTGAAATGCAGTTGATTTTGTGGATTTGCTTTATATTGTTAATTTAATGAAGCTATCAATTACCTCATTTAGTTTCTTTCTTGATTTTTTTGGGGGGATTTTCTAGGTAAACTAGCATGTCACCAGTAAACAAAGATAGGTTTATCTCTCCTTTACCTATGCTTATGCCTTTAATTTCCTTCTCTCTTTCTTGTTGCTATTACTAACATGTCTAGAACTATGTCAAATAATAGAAGAGAATGAAAGACAATGGCGTTTATTAAGTACTTATTATTCACCAAGCATTATTCTAGGCATTGGGAATACAAATGGAAAATCAAGACAGATTATCCCCTGAAAGAGCTCACCTTCTAATTGGATGAGACAACATATATTTAGTCAGCCAAGGAGCATTTATTAAAGCAGCACTGTCCTAACTGCAGAGGATTCAAAGAAAAGCAGAAAATGCCTTTGCTCTCAAAGTGCTTACTTTAATCAAAGAGCTTGTTTTAATCAGGGATACAACATGAAAAAAACTAAGTACAGATAAGGTAGAATTGATGGAAAACACTTTGAAAGGCAAAGACCTCCTGAAGAATGTGATGTAAGCTTAATCTTGAAGGAACAGCGTTAGAAGTGATGGGACAGAGCACTCAAGGTATGGAGGACAGCAAATTAAAGGTATAGAGACAGGATGGAATATTATGTTTGAAAAGCTACAAGAAGACCATTGTTGCTGGATTGTAAAATGCACAGAGAGGATTAAAATACAAGATGACCGGAAAGGCAAGAGAGGGGAAAGATACAAAGAGGTTTAAATGACAAACAGTTGTTTATATTTGATACTGGAAGTAATAGGGAGCCACTGGAGCCCACTGAGCAGGGGCTCCTCCTCCTCCTCCCTCCCCCTCCTCCTCCTCCCTTCCTTCTCCTCTCCCCCCTGCTCCCCCCTCTTCCTCCTCCTCCTTCCGCCCCCTCCTTCTTCTCCTCCTGCCCCTGCTCCTGCCGCTGCTGCTTCTCCCCCGGGTTGCCTTGGAGCGGACCATCCTGGTGCCTCTTTTGTGAAGCGGCAGCTGAGGAGACCCCCGGACTAGCCATGGCCGACGAAAAGCCGAAGGAAGGCGTCAAGACTGAAAACAAAGACCACATTAATTTGAGTGTGGCAGGGCAAGATGGTTCGGTGGTGCAATTTATGATTAAGCGGCGCACACCACCTAGTAAACTAATGAAAGCCTATGGTGAACGACAGGGTTTGTCAATGAGGCAGATCAGATTCCGATTTGATGGGCAACCAATCGATGAAACAGACACACCTGCACAGTGGGAAACGGAGGATGAACGTACAATTGATGTATTCCAGCAGCAGCAGCAGCAGCAGAGAGGAGGCGCTTACTAAAAAGAGCACACGCAACTCCACTCCAGAGCTGTGCTCCCAAGGGAAACAATATCTTCACAGTTACACAACCAAGATTTGATTCATCCACATCCTGACGACTGCAGTATAGTTTTCTCTCTTCTTTGATTCCCTTCCCCCATTCCTTTATTGTACATAAAGTAACTGGTGTATGTGCACAGGCATAATGCGTTGTTTTTTTTTTTTTAACTAAATGGCCGATGGTGTGTTTTGATCAACATCAAATGGAGATGGGGAAAGAAACAAACAAACTGGTTCTGTGAAAATATCCCTTTTCTCCATTAGTGGCATGCTCATTCAACTTTTATCTTTATTTTCCACTGCTTAACAACAAAAAGAAAAAAAACCCACAAAAAATCCTTGCATACCTTGTTTGATTGGATAATTTCAGTGTTTTTTTTTCATCATTGTAAAACCACGGACAATTTTATAACTTTTTTGTACATAGCTGTTACATGTAGGGCAATCTCTGTCTCTCAGAAAGGGATAAATTACTATAAAGAAATTGATCCTAGATAATTTCCCCTTCAAGTCAAACATCTTGTTGTTTAAATAAACTTCTTGTTTAAAATTTAAAAAAAAGAAAAAAGAAAAATTGCCCTGGCACCTAAGTGGAGGGTGGATTGGATTTGGGAGAGACAATGCAGGGACACTGGTAAAAGGCTATTTCAATAGTCAAGGTAAGAGGTGATGAGGGGAGATGGTTGTTTGAATGGAGAGAAGGAAACATATATGAGAGATGTTGTAAAGGTACTAATGATACTATTTGGCAACAAATTGGATATGTTGGACAAAAGGAGAATGAGCAGTTGAAGATGATAAGGGAAAACTTCATGAAGAAAATGATAGTTGGCCTACGTCTTAAAGGAAAAGAAGAATTCTGAAAGGCAGAGTTAATGAGGAAATGCATTCTAGGCATGGAGAGGGGGGTAGGAAACAGCCAGTACAAATGTATAAAGATGGAAGATGAGGTGACGTGGGAGGAACAGAGAGACAGCCAATTTGGCTGGATCACAGAATGACGGAGGAGGAGTAGTGTCCAGTGAGCCTGTAAAGACAGGTTGAGGCCAGGTTTCATAGGGCCAAAACAGAAAAGGAGTTTGTATTTTATTCTAGAGACAATAGGAAGCTACTGGAGTTGAATGAGTACGAGAGTCACATGGTCAGATCTATGTATAAGGAAAATTACTTTAGCACCAGTGTATAGGATAGACTGGAGTTGGGGAAAAAAAAACTTTAGGCAGAAAGGTAAACTAGGAGATTGTTGTAATAATCTGGATGAGATATGATGAAGACTTGAACTAAGATGGTAGATAAATATGTACACACACACATTGGGTTGGATATTGTCATGATTTATACTCAACTGATTATATTTGAAGAGTAAGAGAATGTGAGGAATCTAGGATAATAGCAAGATTATGAACCTGGAAGACAAAGGATGGTGGTACCTTCAATGGAAACAGAGAAGTTTGAGACAGAGGAAGGTTTAAGGGGAAAGATTTTGAGGTCAGTGGTTTAAGATGTCTCCAGAAAATCCAACTGGAAATGTCCAGTGGGCAACTGGCAAAGTAGACTGAAGCTTAGAGGAGAGGCTGGAGCTGGATATTTGGATGTGGAAGTCATTTGTGTAGAGATAATAGTTAAACCCATGGGAATTTAAATGATTACCAAGAAAGTAAATATAAAGAAAGAAGGAAAGAGAGCCTTGCATGTGGCCTAAGGAACACCCTTAATAAAGGGTTTGATGATCAAACCAGCGAAGGAGACAGAAAAAAAAAACAAATAGAAAAACGTAGGAGGCAACCAAGGAGAGAGTAGTTCATGCAACCCAAAAAAGGGTAGTGCAGGAAACTCAGAGATGGAGAGAGTATGCAGGAGGAAAGGATTATCAGCAGTTTCTAATGCAGCTGACTGAGAAGGATGATGTCTGAGAAAAGACCTTCAGATTTGGCATACAAGAGATCATTGTTAACTTTGGAGAAAGCAGTTTCAGCTGAGTGGTAACAACAGAAGCTAGAAGGCAAAGAGTTAAAAAATGAATGAGAGGAAGAGGAGGTAGTGAGTGTAGACAGCTCTTCCTTTTTCTTTTCTTTTTTTAGACAGATTTTTCAAGGAGTTTGTATGAGAAATGGAGGTGAGGTACAGATGATAGCCTAAGGGTTGAGTGAAGGTATATGTGCAAGTAGACTAGAAGAGAATTGGAAAAGGTAAACGAAGTCAAAGAGCCAGGCAGCTGGCAGTGCAATGGAGAGAGGGCTGGGCCTGTAGTCAGGATGATGTGAATTTAGATCTGACTTAAGTAGCTCACACTATCTGTGTGACTCTGGGCAAGTCATTTCACCTCTGCCTGACTCAACTTCCTCATCTATAAAATGAGGGGGGTAATGAGAGCACCCACTTCCCAAGGTTGTGGTAAAGATCAATCATATTTGTAATTAACACTCATATTTGTAAAGTACTTTGCAAACCTTAAAGTGATTTATAAGATAATAGCTATTATAATTATTGTTATTATCATCTTACTTCCTTTACAATAATTATCAACCAGGAGCCTCAGCCTCTCAAGAGGCTGGCCCTCTATAACAGCAATAATGGTATCTTCTCCACTTGCTTATTTTGAAGTTCTTATGCTACTTTCCTGTCCTTTCTTGTTTTATTCCAATCACCTAAGTATTTAAATATCCAAACAACCTTTAAATTGTAAAGGCTTATTTCAGAGAATTACTTTCAATTTATCTCTCACTTTGTTTAATTTTTAGGTCTGCTTGAATCGGCAATGTGTTGACCTTGGTGCCCTGGGATTTGACTGTCCTATTCAAAAATGTATGGGGCGTGGGGTAAGTGGAAGTGTTTTGGAGGTATTTTTGTAAATTATGCATGCATGAGAATTGGATTCAGCACTTCTTGTTTTTATAATAGTATTATTAATGAGGATGTTTCATGTTTCTAAATGTTTCCCTTATAAAAAGGTAGATAATAGAGTATATCCTTTTTCTGAAAATCTCAGCATCACCATCACATTTCCACTTGGTTTCAGGTTTGCAATAATCTCAAACACTGTCACTGTGAAGATGGGTGGCTCCCTCCAACCTGTACCACTCCAACCTTTGGAGTAGGAGGAAGTATCGACAGTGGAATCCATCCAAAATCTTGTAAGTATTAAAAATAGATATTAAAAATACTGTTTCTTTGCCACCAAAGGAGAATTTTAAAGCTACTTATTGACTAGTGACTTTTAGTATATAGTTCAATATTATTTTCCAAAATGTTTAGACCCCTTCACAACTCTATTAAGAATGTAATAGTATTTGTAATTGTATGTGTAATTGTATTTTTTAAAAACCGCAAACATTCTAGTAATACATTTTTCTATTACTAATTTAATGTGCATAAAGTTGAATTTAAGAATTGCTTTAATTTGTATTTTAAAAACTTATGTTTTTAAAAATATTGTGTGTTCCTTTTCCTGAGGACTGTCTATTTGTCAGCCATTACAGAGGCAAAACTTCTAGGTCTGTGTCCCAAAGAGATCATGAAAATGGGAAAAGGACCCACATGTACAAAAGTATTTATAGCAGCTCTTTTTGTGGTGGCAAAGAATTGGACTGATGATGAGTGAAGTGAGCAGAACCAGGAGAATGTTGTACATAGTAACAGACACGTTGTGTGATGACTAACTTTGATAGACTTAGCCCTTCTCAGCAATGCAAGGATCTAAGACATCTCCAAAGGTCTCATGATGGAAAATGCTATCCACATCCAAAGAAAGAACTATGGAGTTTGAATGCAGATCGAAGCATACTATTTGCTATTTTTTTCTTCTGCTTTGTTTTGTTTTCTCTTTCTTGTGGTTCCTCCTATTGGTTCTAATTATTCCTTACAACATCACTCATGTGAAAATATGTTTAATAGGAATGTATTTGTATAGCCTATGTCAGATTGCGTGCCATCTTGGGGAGGGAGGTGGGAAAGGAGGGGGAAAATTTAAAACTCAAAAGCTTATGGCAGTGATTGTTGATAAATTAAAATAAATTAATAAAAAAACTCAAAAAAAGATATAGAGGCAGAGAAAGTATCAAACTTGTTTGATCTAAATTTGGCATTTATTGATAGTATTAGAAAAGTCTAGTGGACACAGGACACTTGGAATGCAGGCCCATTTTTTGCTACACTAAAACGTGATCTTGACATTGATTCTGGCTTCAAGAGATTTTTTTTTTGTGTGTCTTACTATGTACTATTTGCTGTTGTCTTTTTTGTCTCTCTTACTTTATTTTCTCAATTACTGATAAAGATGTTTTAACATTCATTTTCTAAAAAGATTTTGAGTTCTGAATCTCTCTAGAGTTCTCAAAGTATACCATCATATCATCTGAAAAGAGTGATAATTTTGTTTCTTCATTGCCTGTTCTAATTTTTTCAACTTCTTTTTCTTCTCTAATTGTTATATTAGCATTTTAGTACAATATTGAATAATAGTGTTGATAATGGGCATCCTTGCTTCACCTTTGATATTATTGGGAAGGCTTGTAGCTTACCCCCATTACAGATGATGCTTGTTTTTGGTTTTAGATAGAGACTGGCTTTTTAAGGAAAGCTCCATTTATTCCTAGCTTTCTAGTGTTTTAATAGGAATAAGTGTTATATTTCGTCAAAAGCTTTTGCTTGCATCTATTGAGATAATCATATGATTTCCATTGGTTTTGTTGTTAATATGGTCAATTATGCTGATAGTTTTCCTAATATTGAACCAGCCCTGCATTCCTGATATAAATCCTACCTGGTTATAGTGTATAATCCTTCTGATATATAGCTGTAATCTTCTTGCTAGTATTTTATTTAAAATTTTTAGGGAAATTGGTCTATAGCTTTCTTTCTTTGTTTTAGCTCTTCCTAGTTTAAGTATCAGCACTATATTATGTCATAAAAATAATTTGGTAGCACATCTTCACTTGTCTTTCCAAATAGTTTATATAGTATTGGAATTACTTGATCTTTAAATGTTTAATAAAAGTCACTTGTGAATCCATCTGGTCCTGGAGATTTTTTCTTAGGGAGCTCATTGATAGCTTATTCAATTTCTTATTTAGGGTTATTTAAGTAGTCACCTTCTATTAATCTGGGCAATTTCTATATTTGTAAATATCCATCCATTCCACTTAGATTGTCTGATTTATTTATTGTCTTTATTGCCCAATTTATATAATTGGGCAAAATAGCTCCTATTAATGCTTTAATTTCCTCTTCATTGATGGTGAACTTACCTTTTAAAATTTTGATACTGATAATTTGATTTTCTTCTTTCCCTTTTAAGATCAAACTAGCCAATGGTTTATCTCTTTTATTGTGTTTTTCATAAAACCAGCTCCTACTTTTATTTATTATCTCAATGACTTTTTTACTTTCAATTTTATTCATCTCTCCTTTTATTTTTCAGGATTCACATTTGGTGTATAATTGGGAATTTTTAATTTGTTCCTTTTTTAGTTTGTTTTAGTTACATATCCAATTGATTGATCTGCTCTTTTTCTTTTATTGATGTAAGTTTTTAGAGATACAAATTTTCCCCTAAGTACTGCTTTAGCTGTATCTCATAAATTTTGATGTGTTATCTCATTGTCATTCTTTTTAATGAAATTATTGTTTCTATGATTTATTCTTTGACCCACTTATTCTTAGAATTACATTATTTAGTTTCCAATTAATTTTTAATCTATGTTTCCACTGCCCTTTGCTGCATATAATTTTTATTGCATTGTGGTCTGAAAAGGATGCATTTAATATTTTTGCTTTTCTGCATTTGGTTGTGAGGTTTTTATGCCCTAATACATAGTCAATTTTTGTGGAGATGCCATGTACAGCTGAGAAAAAGGTATACTCCTTTCTATTCTCATTCATTTTTCTCTAGAGATCTGTCATAAGTAACTTTTCTAACATTCTATTCATCTCCTTAATTTCTTTTGTGTTTATTTTATGGTTAAATTTATCTAGTTCTGAAAGGGGAAAGTTGTGCTTTCCCACTAGTATAATTTTACTGTCTATTTCTTCCTGTAACTCATTTAACTTTTCCTTTAATAATTTGGATGTTGCATCATTTGGTGCACATTTATTTAGTATTGATATTACTTCCTTGCCTATGTTACCTTTTAGCAAGATGTAGTTTCCCTGCTCTTATCACTTTCAATTAGATATATTTTTGTTTTTGCTTTGTCTGAGATCATAATCACTTCTCTTGCCTTTTTAACTTCAGCTGAAGCATATAGTTACTGTTCCAGCCCCTGATTTTTACTCTGTGTGTATCTCCTTGTTTCAAGTGTGTTTCTTTTTTAAAATTTAGTATTTTATTTTCCCCCCAATCACACGTAAGAACAATTTTCAACATTCATTTTTAAAATGGAGTTTCAAATATTAGTCATGTTGTAAAAGAAAAAATAGACCAAAATAAAGACCCAAGAAAAATAAGTAAAAAGAGTATGCTTCAATCTGTATTCAGACTCCATCAATTCTTTCTCTGGGGATGGATAGCATTTTTTCATTATAAGTCCTTCAGAGTTGTCCTGGATCATTGTATAGCTGAGAATAGCTAAATCATATAGAGCTGATCATCTTACAATATTGCTATTACTTTGTAACACTTCACTTTGCATTAGCTGATGTAAGTCTTTCCAGGTTTTTTTTGAAATCATCCTGCTTGTCATTTCTTATAGCACAATAGTATTCCATCTCAATCATATACCACAACTTGTTCAGCAATTTCCCAATCGATAGACATCCCCTCAATTTCCAATACTTTGACACCAGAAAAGAACTGCTATAAATATTTTTGTATATCTAGGTCCTTTTCCTTCTTGGTTTTTTTTTTAATCTCTTTTGGGATATAGATTTAGTAGTGCTATTGCTAGGTCAAAGGGTATGCATGATTTTATAAGCCTTTGGACATAATTCCAAATTGCTTTTACTTAATCATTGAATCAGTTCACAGCTCTACCAATAATGCATTAATTTTCCCACATCCCCTCCAACATTTTTCATTTTCCTTTTCTGTCCTCTTAGCCAATTTAATAGGTGTGAGGTAGTATGACAGAATTGTTTTAATATGAATTTCTTTAATAAAGAATGATTTAGAGCATTTCTTCATATCATATCATATCATATTTTAAACCTTCCAAGCCTTTACCATGGAAGCTGCTAAATCTGTTGTTTTCTTGACTGTGACCTCACAATATTTGGATTGTTTCTTTTTGGATTCTTGCAATATTTTATCCTTGACCTGGGAGCTCTGGAACTGGCTATAATCCTGGGAGTTTTCATTTGGGGATCTCTTTCAGGAAGTGATTGGTGGATTTTTTTCAATTTTTGTTTTACCCTTTGGTTCTAGAATATCAGGGTAATTTTCCTTGATAATTTCTTGAAAGATGATATCTAGACTCTTTTTTTGATCATGGCTTTCAGGTAGTCCAATAATTCTTAAATCATCTCTTTTTGATCTATTTTCCTGGTCTGTTTTTCCAATGAAGTATTTCACATTTTCTTCTATTTTTTTTTATTCTTTTGATTTTGTTTTATTGTTTCTTGATGTGTCATTGAGTCATCAGCTTCAATTTCCCCAATTCTGATTTTTAAAAAATTTTCTTCAATGAATTTTACATCTCTTTTTCCATTTGACCAATTTTGCTTTTTAAGAAGAACTTCTTTTCAGTGGTTTTTATGCTTCTTTTATCCTTTGGCCTATCCTGTTTTTTTGTTTTTTTTTTTTTTTGGTGTTATTTTCTTCAATATTTTTTTGTTACTCTTTTACCAAGTTGTTGACTCTCTTTTCAGAATTTTCTTGAATCACTCTCATTTCTTTTCCCAATTTTTCCTCTACATCTCTGATTTTTAAAATATTTTTTCAATCTCTTCCAGGAATTTTTGTGGGGCTTGTGTTCAATTCACACGTTTTTCTTTGAGACTTTGCATGTAGCTGTTTTGATATCATTGTCTTTTCTAAGTTTTGTCTTGATCTTCCCTGTTACCATAATAATTTTTTATGGATAAGTTCTTTTTGTTGTTAACTCATTTTCCAGCTTATTTCTTGTCTTTTAACTTCATGTTAAGTTGGGCACTACCCCTAGGGTTAAGAGGGGCCCTGTTCCAAGCTTCACCTTTTTCA